AAAGACATTACTTTACACACGAATAACAACCAATCCCATTTTCATGCATTTAAACCCCAAGTGCACACAAATGGCTCATACTCCCAAACATGTATCAAAACTACATATGATGATTTACAAGTAGTAAAAAATGTTAGAAGTGTGTTACCTTACACCTAGGGTTGTAGGAACAACTTAAGGCTCAACCATGCACCACTTTTCCTTTATCTTTGATTTTGGATCCTTCACCCACTTCTCTCACTAAAACACGCAATGAATTGAGTTACTAACTTATTTAAAGGCTTAATGAAGTTATAAAAACGTTTCCTAACTCTTAAAATATATTGGGAACAATAATGAATCCTAAAATCCAAAACCCATTTTAAACCCCTATTTATGGTTTATCATGGCTAAAACTTATAAGAATTAGTTTAGGATGAAGCTAAGAATTGGAGATTTCATTACTTACCTTAGATTCTTGAATTAGGGAGGGAAACTTTACAAAGCTATCACCTTTTTCCAAAAAAACAAGGGAAAATATAGAGGATGGAATTTGAAAGAATAGAGGAATAATACAAGGTGTTTTGAAAAAGAGATATGAGAAGCCTTCCATGTGACATCATTGCTTTTAATTAAAATTTAGCCTTTGGAATAATTTATGGGTCAATTGCACTTGTAGTCCTTGACCTTTCAAGCTAAATTTAAAAGACCCCTTTTTAAACTTTGATGGGCTTAAGCCCAACTAATAAACAAGCCGAGTTTTAACCCAAAATTCTAAATGGCCTATTGGCCCCCAAACTAAAATCTGCTTGGGTTTATCCGAAACTACTAACTCGAACATCGGGGTGTTACATGGCATTGACGCAACATCCAACTAGTAATTTAAAGTGCACAAGCATTGGATTTGATATATCATGATAATCTTTAATCAATTAGGGTGTCCTCAATGTTTCCTAAGCATCAAGCAAGGCATAAGTCTTATGGAATCTTAACTCATTAAGATCTTATGTTATCATACAATTCATTAAGGTGTCTCACTTATAATCTTATTAGAAGATTTCCCTCACCTAATCCCTTAGTTTCGTATTTAGATTCCAAGCAAAGCTTATAGCCTAAACATTCACGATAGTATCAATACTCCTCATTGCGTATCAGTACTCCTCTAATGGTATCGATAATTTCTCGAGTATCATTACCAAATTTACATTCGATGTTTTGGAAAATATATCAGTATCGATACTCATATCGATACTCTCCCTCTTGGGTATCAATACTCCCTTGAGTACATATACCAAAATTGATTATGGTGTTTTGAAAAATACTTCGGTATCGATACCCCTATGAAAAGTATAGATAATCTACTCATAACCCTTTTGAAAATTTTCCCTTACATGACTGGCACTATGGGTACTATTCTTACAGTGTCGACACCTTTTGCATATAAAACTTTGTCTCGCTTATCTAAAACCCTCCAATTCATTCCTAAAGTGTCCCCAAGGCCCCCAAATAGTATTTAAAGCTTATTTAGTGCTTAAGGAACATGAAAAGTAACTACTTTAAACATGAATAACAATAATACCCATTTTCATTCTTTAAACCCTCTAAGTGTACAAAAATGGCTCATACACTCAAAACATGCATCGAAACTACACATGTTGATCTACATGCAGTAGAGGAAGGTTAGGAATGTGTTACCTTAGACCTAGAGGTTGATGTGACAACTCAAGGCTCACCCGAGCACTTATTTCTCCTTGCCCTTTACCTTTGAGCTTTCACCCACATCTCTTACTAAGCACAAGAAAATGAAAGGATTACTAAATTGCTTGAAGGCTTAAAAAGAGTAAAAACAAGATTCTAAACTCTTTAGAATAGATTTAGAACACCCAAGAGTCCTAGAATCCAAAACTCTTCTAAAACCCCCATATGGTCACCATGACTAAACCTTGAGATTAAGAGTTCAAAAGGAAGCTCTAAGGGAGGAGATTAGTAATCTTACCTTTGATTTTCAAAAAAAGAAATGAATGATTCACAAAGTTATCACCTTTGGAACTTGCAAGAGTAGAGAAGAAAAGTTTTTGAATGAAGGAAAAAGATAATAAAAAATGGGATGATTCCCACAATGACATAAGTTTCATAAAGAGAAAATCAGCCTTTAAAAGATTTTAGGGTCTAATTACTCCTTTGGTCCTCCCTTTTCCTTGCACAATTCAAAAACACTTTTTTTATTCCTTAATGGGATCAAGCCCAAACAATAACAAGACAATTTCCAACCCAACACTTCTAATTGGTTTCTTAGCCTAAATTATAACCCACCCGGGTTTACCCATAACTACTAACCTGAAAATCAGGATGTTACACTTGTAGTTCAAAGTCCTCTTATTTTAAACATCTGATGAATAATATCAATATTGTTCTTCCAGTACCGATACCCAAGCCTAGAAATACCCTATTTTGATTACAAAAATGACTCTTTAACTCACCCAATAGTTCTACTGAGGTTCCCAAACATTATTATAGTTTTATTTATGGAAGTAGAGGTCATAATAGGCCTATAAACAAGTTAAAAAATGCTAAATGATTAATCTACCATGAATATGCTTCAGAACTCTTGCAACATATCAAAACAAATCTAGTGTCCTACATGTGGTTGAGTTAAGTTAGAAGCGAGTCGCCTTGAATTTCAAAACTGCTAGAAGTGTCCAAGGTTCAACCAAGGGTCAACTTCTCATTTCCTTTAGCCTTGGAGCTTTCCCTCACTTCTCTCACTAACAAAGATTAAAGAAGGTGTTACTAACTTGTTCAAGACTTAAATCCATAGAAAACCAGTTGGATTACTTGGGTTTTCATAAACCCCACTAAACCTACATTTGGCTACCAAAACCAAAACTTGCAAAGGAAGGCTTGGAATGAAGCTTGGAAAGAGGAGATTAAAGTTCTTACCTTGAGGTTGTTGGTTAAAGTTTGAAATGGAATAAATCACTCACCTTTTCTTTAGATGTTAGGGAAGCAATGGAGTTTGAAATGGAAGAAGAAGAAGACAAAAGAAATGGTGAAAAATGAGATATTTGGGGGTTCTAGACTTGAAGTCATCGCCTTTAATGAGTATTTGACCTTTAAATTAAAAATGATATAATTGCTCTTTTGGTTTTCCTAATTTTGATTACGACTTAAAAACACCTCCTTTATCAATTACTAGGCCCAAACCAAGCCCAATCTAAAACTCACTTGGTCTATAACTTCCTACAATGCTAGTGGATTTATCTAAACCCTCTCGAGTTAATCCGAAACTACTAACCCGAGATTTGGGGCATTACAAAAAGATATTGCATTTTAATCAAGTAGCTAAGCTTTCAGTCATTAATTTAAAGTGTTTCATATTTGAATCTTATAATTATCGAAAAGTATTGATTTTGTAGTGATGTCGTTATATAAGTTAAACACGAAATGTGATGAAATTTAACCAATTGACTAGCTTAATGGTTGAGTGATTTATGTCACATGTAAGTGAACCAAGATCAATTCATATTAGGAGCAAAATAAGTTTTATCTTTTTATCCTTATAGGTGGTGACATGTCATGCCACGTAAGCATTTTTGTTAATTGTTTTTAAAAAATTATAATTTAGATACTAAAACGAAATAAAAGTGATAATTTAAGTGCGAAACATGTAATTTAACCTTTTTATATTTTCTTAATAATGAAACCTTAGTTATTAATGTGTTTCAGTGTGTCGCTTTAATGGTGTGTTGTGGCGTGCGACGTGCGTTGTAGACTGATTTTATAATATAAATAATCAGTAACTATATCTTTACCTAAATAATCAATCGAAAACTAAATAATTTCATAAGATTTATAGAATCATAATTTTTTTATTTTATTTTCAATTAATAAATAATTTTTTACATACTAAAATATAAAAACTGTAAAATTATATAACACGAAAGGAAAACGATTAGTCCAATAGTTTACCCTTATTTAACGCGGGCTTCATTGTTATTGAATTACGATGTAAAATGTGTATTAGATTAGCCCATTTTATGGTGTACACTGGCCCATTGCACGGTTCTATGGGAAACCCATCAAACCCTTTCCTTTGTTTTCTTCTATCTTCGCTCTCAACAGTCTGACGAAGCGCAACGAACCATCATCTCCCATCTCAATCGATCATTGGTGCTCTCCCTTCCTTTTCCTTCCATTTTCTCTATATCCAATTCGCATCTTATATTGCTCATTCATATTTTGAATTTATTTTTGGCTCCAAACTCAAACAAAATCTTTAAACGGAAAGGGGGAAAGACGAGACAAGCGATGATAACGCGATCGAATTTAGCAGAGCAGTTGAGAGAGTATCAGATTCGATCTAACCACGATTGGGCCTCTGTTTCGTTCTTCTCATCAACGTCTAATCTTACATCGTCTAGGTAAACCCAATTCTTTGATTTAAAAAAAAAAAACTTGTTTTTGAAATTTAGGACTTTTTTCTGTTTTCCCATATTTAATCCAATGACCAGGTTTCGCTATTAACGAGCTTGTAATGAAATATGTTTCATATGAGCTTCGATCGAAGCATTGCCGGTTTATCTAGGTTAGCTAGGTTTTTATAGCATCTTTGGTTAAAAAATCCAGCAATAGCTTAAGGTTATGCTTTTTTTTCTTATTTTCTCTTGAAAATTTCGCTATTTTAATTGATTTCCCCCTCAATCTACTGATACATGTACACAGCATTGGGGGGGGGGAATACCCGTCAAAGAGACCCTCAATAATTAAGCCAACCCTTTGGAATTATAGTGAAAATTAGGTGATCAATTAAAGTGAAATTGGCTCTGTTCTTATGTTGTGCTTTAGCCCCCCAAAAAATCTAAGAAAATGAATGTATAAACTTCAAACAGTTGCTTCATCTTAATTTTCATAAGAAAATGAAATTTAGGTGGCTGAAAGAAGTCTGCTGCTGGGGTTCAGGTTGTTTCATGTAGTTACTTGGCAGGTTTTTTATTTTTTTAGATGAGTGTGACTTTTTGGTTATTGCAGTACCAGCAATTTGAATATTGTTTTTTGTTAATATTTTTACGTTGTATTACCACTATTATCTTGCTAACCCTTTCTTTTCTACTTGTATTTCTATGAATTGTGTTGTTGGTGTGGGGACTAACTGTATGATGATAGGACTTAGGAGTGCATACGTGTCCTTGAATCTTGCCATTAACTCAGCTGTGATTATTGTGTACCGTGTGTATCCTTAGGTTTTTTATGGATGTTATGAAGATCTATAAAAGCAGAATGCTTGCCCATCTGGTGCATTATAGAATTGTTTGGATTTTGTTCAAATGTTAGGGTCTTAAGGCTACGAGTCCCTTTTATTCAAATGCTAGCTCACGTTAAGAAGTATTGTTGTGCCGGGTTGAAAATTAGTCAGTTAGCCTTGAATCAATTCTTTGCAACATTCATGCATTAAGGTTTTTGTGTTACTTATGCCGGAAAATATTCATGGCTAATATCTTTGTGCTATGTCCTAGTTCCAACAAGTTTTGACATGTTTGTAAGGTTATAATTTATAATAAATTGTATGATGCAGGAATTGCCAATTTTTTGTTTGGAAAAATAAATTAAAGAATTTAATTTCTAGAATATTTGTAGTTTTATCAGGTCCCGTTCTTTTGGTCTTCTTTTGACTATTTATTCTTCTGTGGCTCAGAATAAGACATTTCTAAACATTGGGCTTTGTGTACTTTTTTCTGACGCAGGGTGGATGTTGTTGTGTTTGTTATATGGGAACTTGTTATTTTAGCTTTCCTGGTTTTCTCAGCCGTTTCTTTGTACTTTCGGCATCTGCAGCTTGCCTTTATTCTAGTATGCATCACAATGCTATTGTTTCTCTGCATGAAAATCACAAAGCAAGTGACATTGGCCAGGAAAAAGAAGAGACGCATGCTCCTTCCATTATCTATGTAGAACTATATCTAGTTGTGTAAGTTTAAGACTTAATGACCGTTGCATTTGGCTCACATGCTCTGGTCTATTGAAATATGTAATTGTGCCTAGAGCAAGTTGATGAAGAAATCTGATTTGATATGATCACCTAAAAGAGCCGGTGTTCCACTGTGAGTAATTGTTTGATGAGGAAAGTGGGGATAGTCTAATTGAACATGCAGCAGTTAGTTTGAACATATGGTGTCATTCGCACTACCCTTGTGCTGTATGCATCATTGTGAGAAAAGCTACATTATAATGCTAATCCAGGTGTAGTTAAGAATATTTTACTGAATTTTGTAATTTGTTCGACCCAATTGTAGTTTACAAGACATCAGAGGATTTGAAATTGTCGTATGCGAGTGATTGGAACATTTTTGCATGTAAAGATGTACTCATACATACAGTTAATTTGCAACAGATCAAATACCATACGTGATTTGCAGTTTCCTCCTTGATGTAAGAGTAAATTCTTGCAAACTTTGGCATAGGTGTTGTTTAGAAGACGATTTCAAATATATTCAGAGCAATACATGAGGTTTGATATGTGTTAAGCAGTCTATAAAACTCGAGGGATTGTAAGATGCTTGACATTGTTCCTTACTACGTGGACAATTGGCTTAGGAGACCCAAGGCTTGTTGGTCAGTTTGGATATGCAAGATGAATGATAATGCTCAGCACTTGTTCACTGGGGTTTAAAGAAGTGGATTTCAATACCCTTGGTCACTATGCCCCATATTGCACCAGTAGTCACCAAGACGCTGAGTACCATTCCTAACGCCCCTAATGCCCAGTTGAGGCACCAACATGGACTAAATCTCTGAGGTTTCTTGATTATCACCCACATGAGACAGGGATAAGCCAAGGTGATCGGTAAAGCGATCCCTCCGATCAACCCGGCCAAGCTCGACAAGAATGGTAGTGCCACCGAAATAAAGAAGGCCAAGCATCCAAAGAAAACTCTGATACCTGTCCGCACCCACCATGGGCATCTCCTTCCCCATTTGCTTGTATATTTGAACTCTAAATTATCGAATACAGGCATAGCATATATCTGGAATGAGCTGAGGCTGTTGATCACAATGAGTAGACTAACTAGTCCGAGAAGCAACTTCGATGTGTCGAGTCCGTGGTATCTGTACAAAGCACTAAGCATCCCTCCATTTTCAGGCATCTAAAAGCAACTCATAAGGTATTAGCCACAAGGAGTATTATGAGCAATAATAATACTAACAATCCAAGCATCTTACCAGGTTTCCGTAAACCCAATAATCACCAATTGCAAGGGGAAACAAGCAGGCTGCAACAATCATGTATGCAAACTTCACTCCTCTCCACATCGGTAGCCGGGAAGGGTGCTTGCCACTGGAAGGCATAGTCCCCTGTATTTCCAGCACGAGATTGTGGCCTCTAAATGCAAAGGTGATTATTCCCAGTGCGTTAAAGGTATTGAAAAGCCTGGACAGTTGCGATTTTGCTCGATCCGGTGGATTATATGAGACAAACTCTTGCCTACCTTGAATAATCGACACGATCCATATCAAGCTACAATAACTGATGGCAGTGATTGCCCCGACCAGGGAAACCCCAGCAATGGAGTTCAAGTTGGGAAGTTGAGCCAGGATGATGGCCAAGCAAGTGAACACCACGTACCATTCCACAAGGGTGAGGGGTTTTAGGCTGCATGTGTTCTCAAACATGATCTCAAAGAATATCTTCATGGTTCCTCCTCCTATCATGATCAAGGTTACGCAACTTCCTCCTGATAGATACATGATGGGGAAAAGAGCCAGCAGTTTCCCTAGTTTTTCTCCTGAACAATATTATCATCAAATTGTTAAATTAAGTGGTTTTGTGGTAAAAGAGAATATCATTTTAGATGATCCATATTCGAACGGTTGCGTTTTTTAAAATGTGTGTATAATAATTAAGAAAAATTATGAACATATATTATATTCTAATCATCGCATATCAATAGAAAAAAACTAATGCATGGCATTTGATTTAGTTCAATATCGTCTAGTCTCTCGTGCAAAAGCATGCAGGGATAGTGGTCACAGTTTCATAATGAATTCGTCAAAATCACCGCATGAGAAAAAGGAAGATCTGATTAGAGTTATTTTGGGATTCTACTTTCATTAAAGCCTTTAATCATATCAATCAACAATACTTTCAATTAAAATTTATATTAATCTTATCCGGAAGAAAGATTATCCTTATTTATTACTAACAGTCTTTTTCGGTTCGTACCTTTTAATTCTCTTATAAAGTTTTATTGTTGTTGCAAGCAAGACTAAAGTAGACATTATTATAAAGCTTAATTGCTAAACTATGTGATGCAAGCAAAACAAAAGTAGACATAAATATGTCCTATGCATTATGTTAAAATATACAAGTCCTTAAACTCTTTGTATATTTAGAATTCGGTCTTCTTACTTTTATTTTTATTAATTTAAACTTAAATTTTTAAAACTAAAAGAATAGAGGGTTGAACTCTAAACATACAAAGAATATAGAGATTTGGATCAAATTTTAACCTATCCCTTAATATACTTTGAAAACATCGAATGCATCAATATAACATGATCAAGTTTATCTATCTTTCTATACAAGTTATAAAATCCATGATGTCATCATGAATTAACCAAACATCAACTTAAAAAGAAAAGGATAGAAAAAGCAAATTTTTGAAAGAAATAAAAATATTACCAAGGTATGTTCCAAAATTCATAAAAAATAGATTTTAAAACAAAATAGGTTAAGTTACACTAAAATCAAAAAATAAAAAAGTGATTAAGTTGAAAATTTTAGTATACTTGAATTAAGGTTTAATCTTTGTTGTTGGTGTTGATTATAAATATAATTATAATTATTTCTTTCACCCTCAATATGAATGCTATATGATTTAGTTTTATTTTTGATCAAGATTAACCCTGATGGCCTCTTATTATATTATGATTTAGTTTTATTTTTTTATCAAGATTAACCCTGATGCCTCTTATTCTATTATGATTTAGTTTTATTTTTGATCAAGATTAGCCTTGATGGCCTCTTATTCTATTATGATTTAGTTTTATTTTTTATCAAGATTAACCCTGTTGCTCTCTTAAAAAATTCAAATTATTATATATTTTAAAATTTTCTATGGATTTTCTACTCTTATTAAAATTTTATAAGTTCGATCCCTCACTTGTAACATACAATCTCACATCCCATCCCTGTTTATCCCTCAGCATTTACTTGGCTCTTACCAAAAGCAGCCATGGAAAGTCGAAGGTATCTGCTGTACCGTATCCCAGATTCTGATTCATGCAACTGAATTAGTATCCACAGTGTGTATAACTGCCAAATAAAAGCCAGCGATAAGCATATAACTCCCCACACCCTGCAACAAGAATCATACATACATGTTGTTAAACTGATTTGCATTAGAATAACTCCTCTATTTCAGTTTAAGAAGAAGAGGGTTTTGGAAACCTACCAACCAAGAGTAATGAAAGCTAGAGGAAGAACAAGAGCTTGGAATCCGATTCCTGAACTCAGTGTGTGAAATGCCGCGTAGTACGCGTTACCATTCCTGGACTCAGTAATGGGAAGCCAAGCTTCCTGCGGGTCAAGCTTGGTGAAGTGTCCAACTTCTTCCAAGTAACTTTGCATGCTCGCAATCGCCTTCTTCATGGGACTATCTACAGGAGTCATCATCATGGGTGTAACAAAGGGGCTTTTTGGGGTTGAATCGAGCAGCGGTGACCGAGACATGGATATTGATCGGCAGTCGAGTTGAAGCGGAGGTGCAATGATGTTCAAAGTTCGTCCCGCCACCGGACTCGACTGTACCTCCACCACCTCTCCCATAATATCTACCTATCTGATTATCTGTCTAAAATCGTGAGTTATGAAGTTCGATACAAGGAGCTCCTTGTTCATGCAGCTAGTGTTTGATCATCTCCCTATATATACAATATGATGTATTGGAAAAGTAAATATATGCAAGGAGAGAGCAGTGTGTGTGTTGGAATTGGATTTGCACTGAAATAATTGTCGTGTGGTGTGATTTTTATAATAATTCAAGGTCGTGGTTGTTGTGGATGCTGAGTAGATGAAAATATGAACCCAACAAACATAAATATTCACAGTAGCAGGGAGAGTTTTAATAAAGCGAAATCTTTGACTGACCCAATCGCTGGCTGCTCTTCTTTTCATCTAAAGTTAACCCCTAAGTGACCGTCGACTCTTTAATTTTCTTCTTTTTCTTTCTTTTGTTCTCTGTTTTCAGACCTTAAGCTCGTAGCCACCGTGGCCGTGTCGCCTATGTTAACCGCGTCTGCTTTATTATCAGCATTTGCGAATTCAGAAAAATTTCATCGGTCGGTCAATATAAATATTTATCTAACATATTTCGCATATTTTCTAATTTAGAAAAATAACAACGATCATACATGCATGTATAAATATTTGACTGAATCCAGAAAAATTATATCAATTCGACCGATATTAGGTTTTAACACAACTCATATGCTTTTATAGGGTTAACTACACTAATAATCCATTTTCTTTTTGACATTTCTTATTTTGGTCAACGATTTTGAAAAAGTTACATTTTGGTCATTTACATTATCAATTTATTATATTTTTTATTATTGGTAGTTAACTCTTGTTAGTTTACTTATGTGACATGTTTGTAAAAACAATTTAATTTTAACTTTACCCTTATATTTTAGATAAATAATAATTTAACTCTAAACTTTAAATAAAATATCAATCTAACCCCTAAATTTTAGATAAAATATTTTATATATAGTTTAGGGGTTAAATTAATATTTTATCTAACTTTTAGGGTTAAATTAGTATTCTATTTAAAATTTAAGGGTTAATGTAACCCCCTAGACCCAGGCTATGTGTTTCGACTAAGTCTAACAGGTTACATTAAAAATTCTTAAAACATCTTCCAAAATGATATTCGATAATTTAAAATCATAGTACAAATAACATTTATAAAAGTATAATAAATAACAATAAAAACCCAACTCGTAAATATAAAACTAAAGTGACTAAGTAAAACAAAACATGTCATAAATCTAAATCACGATAGATCGAATATCAGTAGCAAAAAGAAGTAAACATCATAAAAATAAGAACTTCAAAATAAAGGCACATGTCACTGCAATTGAAAGCAACTTGGAAGATAGAAACATTACAACAAAAAGTTATGCAAGAATGTGTCGATCCTCCAAGTGCTTGATTCGAGGTGCATATCCAAAAGTATTTGAAAGGGCTAAAACAGTTTGAAAAGTGAGTTAAGGCTCAGTGTGTCCCAACAGTGCAAATAAATCATAATGGTAAAATAATCAAGTAA